GTAGCTCTTCCGTCAAGGTTGGAGTTTAATTTCACATTGGTTCTGTTATCGTCCCCATTCTGCGTCAGATCGGCCAGCAGGCAGCATTTATTCGCACTCTTCACTCTCTTTGTATTGATATGTGCTGTGCCCTTGAAATATGCATGCAAGATTACAGCATTGTGATGAGTCTTCGGCTCCCTGGTTCTGAATCTGACGACAAAAACTGCATTCTTTGTGTCTCTGGCGATACTCAAGGTATTGGTACCGCTCTCAGCAAATATGCTGAAAGCACTCTACTTGACTGGTTGCTGGTGAACAGCCGCATGTGAGCGATTTGACCCTGTATTGGAGTTAATAAGCACTGTCTGAAGATAAGGTGTTTTTCCATCGCCTCCGTTTTTGCCCCTACTTAATGCAGTTCAGGTAGGATCAAACTCGATTGTTATCGTAAATTTACATCTCTTCGCATTGCGTAAAGTACTGAAATCGTGATGGCTGCTGGGGACATGAATTCTCAAGTTTTTCCTCTTTCGGACCCTGAACAACACCTAGGCGGCCGCTTCGGTGTCGATGCAACATAGACAGGCAATGTTGATCGATTCCTGCAACCGAATTATCCCAGCTTCAACTGTGGTTCGCCAGAGTTGTCCTATATCTCCTTTCCTCTTCAACGTTGTGGTCGACATGTTCATCGATGACTCGATTCTGACTCTACCAGAGTGGAAGTTCTGCCAGCTGACTGCTCGACGAACTTTCTGTATGCGGACGACCTAGTTCTCCTTTGGTCTGATGCTTTAGCTATGCAGACACTACTACACATAGTTTTGCGTAGCGCTACACGCTACGGCTATGCTTTGCACCTTCAAACTGCAAAGTACTGCTGCAGGACTGGATTGACACACATCCGGTTGTAGCTATCACCGAACAGCCACTAGAAGTGGTGGATCGGTTCAATTACCTTGATAGCTATGTCACATCTGGCGGTCACATCACTGAGGAGTTTACGTCATATATCAGCAAGCCCTTGTGTCTTTCCAAAACCCCAACCATCTGTTGAGATGTCAGTGCAAGGTTGCGTGTAAAACGTTGCGATAAGGCCGGTGTTACTGGATGGATCAGAGACCTGCTCAGTTCGCTGTGAAGAGATTAAACGTTTGGCCGTGTTTGACCGCCGGTGCTTGCAGAGTATTGCTCACGTCTGTTGGGAACACCGGCTGAGCATTGCTATGGTCGTCCAGTTGGTTTTTGGTGCCTCAGTCGGGTGTCTGCTTACGTTAGCTAGACCTTGTCCTCCGTAGACCCCGTTAATCGGCTTCCTCCCGGACATTTTACGCAATGGCTGCGCGAAGTAGGCGAAAACGCCGGTCCATGACGTGTCATAGGAGCATGAAGAAATTGACCGAGAGAGTTGGTCAGGTTGGCGCATGCTCTCCTCATAGATGTGGTCTTTGCGATGGTCCACACCAGTAGCTGAAGTCTTCGTTCGGACATTGCGCAGTCACACAGTCATTGGCGTTCCTTCATTCGGTTTCTTGCGCCTGTTTGTCAATTTTCGTTCCATTTGCGCGACTGGTATCCTTTGAGTAGTGGTTTGCCCCAAGTCACTTTACTGGGGCCCATTTTGTTCCTAATCCATGTAAACGATGTGCCTCAGCTTCTCCGCTCGCCTTGTGCGTTGTTTGCAGATGACTTGAAAGTGTGGAGAGTAATCAATGCGCTCGATGACTGTGACCTGCTTCAGCGGGACCTCAACCGCCTCTCCATGTGGCCTGCAGAGGTCAGCCTTCCAGTCAAGTCGCAATTCTTGAGGCTGGGTAACTGTGAGCACAGTCGAACATACACTAGGGCCGGTCAACTGTTGCATCCCACGCCCTTCGTAAGTGACTTCGGTGTACTCTCGCGCGACGACCTAAAGTCCATGGGCAACACGAATAGGCCTTAGCAAAACGGCCTTCTTATGTTTTAGGCTTTCAAACCTAGCTTCAACACTTGGTCCTAAGAGATTGCCTCTTCGTCTCAAGTATACAAAGAATGCTAGACTACGGCTCATCTGCCTACTGTCCTCTCACTCGGGGTGAGGTAGAAAGGATTGAGCGGGTACAGCATGTGGCCACTGAGCTGATCCCCAATTTACGAGGAATGCCGTATGGAGACCGGTGTAAGAGACCAGCGCTTTACGCCCTACCTTATCGTCGATTGCGATTTGGTGTCATCATGACGCACCGCGATGTAACATCTCAGTGATTGCCCCATGTGGGCCAGCTGCTGTGTTTGCGCACACAAAGCAGCACACGAGGACACCGGTACAAGCTTCTAGTATTAGATTTGAAGCGAGTCTCCTACCAACTTTGTTTCGAACTGAGAGCGGTGAATGTATGGATCAACCTGCCGCAGAATATAGTTGAGGCAAACTCGGTGTCGGAATTCAAGAAATTCCTTAACAAACACTGCCTGTGTCGGATCTTTGTACCTGAGTGATATTAGCTGCGGCTACACAAAGATATCTCTTCTTGCTGCTTCAAACCAGTAATCGGTAATCTGATTACTCTAACCCACTTCTTGCTTCCATCTTGAACAATGAACAATGTATTTATACGGGTTAAGAAGCGTTGCTTTACAAGTCCCGTTGGATAGTTGGTGGGGATATCAACATAACAATAATGATGATAAGGATAGTAAAATAGTTAGTACTTTAAATATGAAAATGAGGACTTATCGTTTGCTTCGCTGCAGTCCTGCGATCCTCTTAGATTCACAGCACCCACAGTTAACAACAAATAATTCCATAGTAAACTCCAGGTGTAGGATGGAGACGTAGTGTTAAGTGACAAAGCGTATGTGGATGAGTGCATCGTCCAACCGTCTTTTAAATATTGTTAGTGTCGGTGCAGAGACGACCGATTCTGGGAGAGCATTCCACGGGTGACAGACACGAATGGAAAAGAAATTTCTGCGGCACTCCAGACGACTGTATTGTTCTGCGAGTTTTAAGGAGTGGCCCCTCAGGTTTGTATTGCTGCTGAGTTGCAGTAAAGGGCGGCACACATGATGTGGGTCTTGCAGAATCAAGTATGCCATAATCAGGTCGCCTCGTAGTCTGCGATAGCTTTCACTGAACAATCCTAGTCGTCGCCGCCTCTCCTGGTAGGGAAGATTGCGCATTCCAATGACGTTCTTAGATGCCCGGCGTTGTGGCTACTCCAGTGCATTAAGGTCGTGTTTCAGACATGGATGCCAGGCTTGAATTGCATATTCGACATGGGGGCGAATATACGCATTGAGCATTTGTCGAAATATGGAGCCGTTTATTTGTCCAAACGCCCGCCCCAACAGCCCGACGTGTTGGTTCCCGGTCTTCGAGGCCTTTTCGGATTGCCTGGAGCAACCCAAGTCACGTTCGAGAGTTGATTGTTGCAGTACATCCGTTCCGAGTCGGTATGAGTAGCTGCTTTGATGTCGGATGGAAAGCACCTTGCATTTACTGACGTTGAAATGCAATAATTTTTGGGTCGACCATTGATACACCGTATCTAAATCACTCTGAAGCACATTTTGGTCGGTGTTCGCATGGATTCTGCGCCAGATCTTGATATCGTCGGCAAACATTAGGAAGTTTGAAGCGATTCCCTGTGCAAGATCATTAATAAACACCAAAAACAAACGTGGACCTAGAACCGAGCCTTGCGGCACACCACACTCAACTTGTATGGGGTCCGATAATGAGCTCCGAACTCTGACCACTAATTGCCGTTGAAATAGAAAGTAGGCGATCCAGCTTAAAAGAGGGTCTCCGATCCCGTAATGCTGCAGCTTGGATAGTAGTATCCGATGGTCTAGACGATCGAAAGCCTTGGAAAAATCCAGGTAGATCACATCAACACCTCCAGCGTCGGCTGCCTCGGTCCAACTACTGCGTGCAATTAGTAAATCAGTTGTACATGACCCCTGTCGACGGAAACCGTGCTGTTCAGGAGTGACGAGGTTGCAATTTTCCAGATAACACACCAGTGCATCGGCAACTATGGATTCCGTGACCTTGGAGAGTATAGGAAGAAGGGTTACTGGGCGGTAGTTGGAGGGATCAGTTCGGCTTCCACCTTTGTGAATCGGGGTTATTATTCCAAGCTTCCACATGGCGGGAACTTGGTTCTGGTCTAAGCAGTGCTGGAAAAACTTAGCTAATGGTCCTGCCAGTTGGTTTGCTGCTGCTCCCAATGCCTCTGGACGAATGGTGTCGACACCCGGCGAGCTGTGTTTGTGTAGAGAAGTCAGCTTTTACAATACAGCCTCTGCGGTAAAATTGATGTCGGTTAGTCCTGGTGAACAGAATACAAAGCTTGGTAGGTCGCTTGGTGGCAAGACTCTTTGAAACGTGGGGGCGTATTGCATCTGCAGCGCGTTTGCAGCTTCCATAGATGTTCTTGTTGAGCCATCAGCCGTCTTCTCTTCGTTCTATTTGCATTCAACCTCGATTTTTGCCATTGTTATCTATTAGTATTCTTGCGACGTCAGTCGTGGCAATTTCGGTTCTCGGATCCTGGTTGTTCAACTGAACTGAATTGCATCGATTGATTAACTTCAATCTTATGCGGCTGTTCTGGTCACGAGCGCAATTAATTCCTTTCAGTTACTTGGATGGGATGTTTATTTTGTCTATTTACTCTTGAATTGTACCTTATCTCTAACTCCTTTGAATCGCCTATTTTAAGCATGGTCATATTAGGGTACACGCATACGCGAACGCAAAAAACGAGCTTTTCTTTCTAGTTTTGGGATCTGATTGTCGGACTCAGGGTCACGCAGGTCCAGACAAGGCACATGTTAATCTGGCGATTAGACTGTCTAGCTTTTGACTCACAAGTTATAACACCCACTAAATTTATGTTGCACGTATATACACCATTATTTCATGAGCGTAGAAGCTTTTTGCGTAAACTTTGAGCGGCCCATCCTATACATCTTGTTATCGCAATTTCTACACACTTACTCATGTACCTTTTCCGCTTTTGTGCTCTCAGGTTTTCGCCCACGCAGAACTATTGTTCTGGCTAGTTGGGATGGTGAAGAACTCTCATTGCTGGGTTCAACTCATATGGTCGAGGAACGGAACAACGAATTGAGGCAACGGGCCGTTGCTTACATCAATACAGATTGTCCGATTAAAGGGGGCTCGAAGTTTCGTGCACGCACTGACGAGCTACTCGCGGATGTATTATTTTTGGCTAGTCGTTTTGTCAAGGTTGACCCCCCATTGAATACGAACACTCTCTTTGATGAGTGGCTCGCTCAGAATGAAGAGCCTTCCCAGTCTGAACCTCGGTGAGTACAAGGTTTTGTGTGTGAAATTTCAACTTCGTGAACACATTACTCGATGCTCCACTTTCCAACCCATCGTAATCGTATTCTCGTGTATGCAGACCAGCTTGGTTGCACAGCGCGCTGAGAAGGTCACAAAGTTTTACAACATGCAAATCACTCTTCGACTCACTTTACTGTTAAAACAGTTGTTATCCGCCAAACAAGTCTTTAGTTACCTCTTACACTGCATGCTAGGGGCCTTTTCGTCTCGTTTCCACCTGATTCTGTGCTTAAATGTGAGACGTCGCGGGCGATTCTCTCATGGACCTTTGCTTTACATTTTCGGCTACTCTTTTCACCTTTTGCGTCCACGTGGATTCATGTGGTATCATCGGATTATTTTTGGCAAATTAAAGACGCCATGAACCAGTCAAACCACACTATGTATGACTTGCGTGCAAAATTTCGGTTGTCAATTTGCCACTCGCACCAAGGTAACCATTCATGCCACCCGAGTGATTTTGTTCTTCCAATAGTATATCACCTACCTAAACTCCTCGTCACTCTTCTATTCCAATCATAGAGATGTCGACAAAAGCAGCTCAAATGGCACATTTGTAGATAAACCCATCACTGTCAGCATAAGTCCATGTCCCCCCTATAGTAGTAGTTGATCGATGCTAAATCATGGACATGCGTTCCAATCCAAAAGTACCCTGGCTATCTCGTTCACATCCACCGATTACTAACGTCTCATTACCATGCACGTAATCCCCTATTAATCCGATAAGCGATCGCGAGATTCATTTGCCATCATGTCGACTGGTCAACTACATACAGGAGCCGCGGTGGAAGTGTTATCATCTATGGCAATCCTGTGTGGTGCACGTCAATAAAACGTTGCTTTCGCTTTTCTTGTCCACGTACTAACTGTTTGAGCTTGAAATGGAAGCCAAGGTGTTTAAGTGGCTAACAGTCGATTTCTCTTGTTAATATCTACATTACCCTCAGTTGTGCCCCCTCTGAGGCTGAGGTATTTTACGATCAGTTCACTTCAAGTGTCATCGACCACATTCATTCTTCTCTTGCCTCTTTGCTGGTGATTTCATCAGTTTTGACACCACCTTTCTCAGAGACCTTGTGCTGCAACACCGTGTAACCCCCCCCCAGACCTGAAGCAACTATAAACCATTATATTTGTTGACAATACAAAACTGCTTTTTGTGTACAAACAGACACCGATTGGTAGTTCTGACCACTCAAATATCATGTTATCCCTAACGTGTATAGCAAAATCAATCATAGCGATATTACTCATTGTAAAGAGGGTAGGCTTAAAAGCAGACATCCTTCCTCGGAGAACATATATCGCCTCCAGGAAATGATTTCATTCACAGATTTTGGTATATTTTTGACAACGATGCATCTAAATAATGCGACCAGTTAACGTGCTACATCAACTTCTGCTTTGATACCTGATATCCACTGAAAACCATTTACATCCGTGCGGATCGGTTTCCAACTCCATATCTAAAACGCTTGCGTAGACCCAAAGAGAAAGCGTTCATAACGAAAGACTACACTGCAGCGAAATCTTTTTCTATTTCCATCAAAACTGAGTTGCGCAGTCTAAACCACCTATTTGTCCAGACCATACTGGGAAATTGTGGGTGCCGGGATGTCCGGCGTATGATCTGACAACTTGAGTGGACTCTCTAACCGAGTGTCAAATCCAGATGTAGACCTGGAAGAACTGAACCGAAATTTCTGTTGCATTATTGCTAACTCCACCTCTTACTTTTCTTCCCCACGACTGGATCAGCCCACAACCACCTTACCTGCCATTGACAGAAATACAATAAGTAATAAACTACTAGAGCTAAACTGAAACAAAGCAAGTAATCCGGACGGACTATCATTCGTTATCCTCAAAGTGTGTGCGGATTCCTTGGCCCAGCCTCTTGCGGACCTATACACGTTGTGCATGAAAGAGTGTAATCTTACTGACTGATGGAGAAGTGCCAGAATTACACCAGTGCTAAAGAAAGGCTCAGATAAATACCGACCAATTATCTACACCTCGGCAAACTTGAAGATATTCGTGAAGATTATGTTTGAAAAGTTGCTGCATCAGACTCATTCAGATGATCCGCTACAGTTTGCTTATCGTTGTTTCTGGTCTACTCCAGACGCACTAGCCTATCTTGTACTTTCAGTACTGTCGTCACTAGACAACAAGGTCAAATCCGTACGCATGTGTTTTCTCGATTAGAGTAATGCTTTCGGCAGCGTAAACCATGAGTTTCTTTTGAAAGACCTGGACGATACCGGAATTCCATTTTTTACTGTCCACCTTTTGAGAGCATACTTCACTGGACGTGCACAGTTTACTCGACTTGAGGGTAAAACTTCTTCGCCGCTCAACCCAGACACTGAGGTTCTTCAAAGGTACATACAATCTCAAGACCACTTTTCCACCTACATCACTTCTTTACCTGACCCCTGCCGATGCGATATTGCTGAAATATGCAGACGACGTAGTCTTGCGTATGCAACAACCGGCCACAGCCTCATCAACTAAATTACATGCCTATCTGGACAGCCTTGTATTATGGTCCAGAGCATACTTTTTATCGCTGAATATATCAAAATGCAATAACGTCATTTTCCCCATATATAAAGACCATGGTTATCAGCAACTTCTCATGGAATACCCCGAAGTTCATACAGATGGCACGAATTTGCACTCGTGTCAGTGAAGGACCTAGATGTAACACTCAGTCCTGATCGTTCCTGGTCACTGCATGTTAATGATTTTTTTTACAACGGTGTGGAGGCTTCCGTACTACGCCATTTGTTTTCGATCCCACTCTGTCCTCAGCACCTTAATTTTGCGATTTGTCACCGCATATGTCTTACCCCTTCGGACCTATTGCAATACTGTGATATTTCCTCGTTTTCTAAGGAAGCGCTTCAAAATCCTACGTAGGTCACTGACGCAATTATCTCGGTTAGTGGAATTCCCAAGTCGACCTTTGTTGGGATTCTTGTGTCCACTCACAACAATTCATGAATAAGGCTTGCTTCGAGAATACTTACGGATACAAGTCACCCTCTTTATTGTGCACTGTCTGACTGTCTATCAACTTCGTCAACCAGATAAAGTGTAGGTCCATTTTTACCCGCACAAGAGCTTACCACTCATCCGTCATTCCACATCCTTCCCGTTTTTTTGCGACCAGACATCAGTTGTCCTGGAGCTTTAAAACAACTTTGCATCGTGACCATACTGCTGTTTATGCCACTTTTTACTCTGCTTGTTTATTTACTGCTTTATTTCTTTTGCTATGTTGAAAGCGTGTGTGTAACAACCGAATATTCACCATTATGGGTACATAAAGCGCTTGAATTACATAAAAGATTGAATACAACACCGTTCAGGTTTTCTCTGTAAACGAAGACGTACCCCGGCGCTGGAATAGTTTATTTGCGCCACCAGGGATCGCTGAAAAAGCGCACGTTTCTTCCGACAGATGTGAGTCGTTATGGTTTAAGGGATCACAAAGAGTCAGAAACTCTCGACATTTCACGATTATATTCCCCGAAACATTCCAATACATCTTGGTGAGTACTTTTGGTTTGTTATCGATGTTGCCAACATTACCCGGGGATTTGGGGGAATACAGGGTGCTATGCAAACGGAAAGTCGAGTCACCCTTACACATTCACATTTCCAGACTTCCCATTATCGTTTGCTTGCCGCATGCAGGTGCAAAGTGTTCTTGTTCTAGTGTGCGGCGAATGATTTGTACAACTGGCTGCATTTACTTCGTGAATACGAAGTGATCAGCATTATGGGATTAATACGGTAGTCGTGTGGTGCACTCCTGTCTAGGCCTGGGCAACCTGACAGTATCCTGCCCACGCAAGACACCATGACTTTTCCTTCTAACCATCTCTTGATGCTCTGGCGGTCGCAGAGGATAATAAGCGGCGCGCTATCTGCTGCATCAAGCAGGTTGGATAGGGGTTTAGATGCTACTGCTCAGACCTTCCCGTCTTCTTATTCCCCCTCTTACGCTTCTTCATCCTTAGCGTCCCGCTCCAACTTCACTTTTATCCCCCCGTTTTCAATCCCCCAATTCTTGGCCCCTCCCTCACCTTGATTCAGTAGTCGCTTGTCTTCTAGTTTCAACTCACACACAATCGCAGGGTGTCGCTTCAGTCCAGTCGACAAGTCCATGTTCTACCAACCGGGCAACGTTAATTCATCCGTTTTCTTTTTGGAGTCATCCATCCTCGCTAAGACTGGATTGCCTCTACTTGCGTACTTTACTACAGATTAGCCAACAGGCAATACTTGCCCGAACACTCGAGATCCTATCGATCCATATTTGCTGCTTATCGGAAACGCGTCTGCAAGATTCCAGCTCCGTGCTTGCTCTGCGATCTTCCACCTGCGACACTGACAGCACATTTTCATTGCGTCTGTCTGGCGATGACGCAGCTTCAAATGGAGGTCAATTTAACGTCGGCATCGTTTTGAGTCCCCGGACTGAACCTGCCCTGATCGAGTGGATCCAGTCAACAGGCGGATGTGCGCCATTAGATTAGCTAGTACTTTCCAGGCTTCGAAGACGCACGGGGACAAACGGTGCCTGTTTGTCATTGCGATTTTTTATTCCCCCACAAACCGCAGCTCTGATTCGGTGAAAGTTGATTGCTATCACCAACTGAACGATCTCTTTCGTTATAGAAGAGCACGGATACTATGGTGCTTGCTGGTCATCCAAACGGCTAAGTCGGAAAATTTTCCTCTGATGAGCTTCATCTGGGCGGCCAACATAGTGTATGCTCCCGTAATGATAACGGTGAGCGGTTGCTACACTTGTGTGAAGATGATCGTCTCTTACTTTCGAGCACTAACTTTCGGCACAGAACTCCCAGCAGTGTGACTTGGAGCCCGCCAGTCTCGTGCCAGCTATGGACGCAAATCGATCATATCACGATTAGTTACCGCT